GTCCCCCCCCCCCCCCCCTTCCTAAAATTAGGTGAAAAATGCACAGTTATAACATAAAAAAGCTGTGAAACTTCCCTAAACACCATTGCGGGCTCGACAACTCTTCCTTCTCCACTACACTATCTCGCTGGAGAGGGCGCGGACGAGAAAGTTTGCCGCGCCGCCGCGTGGCACCCCCCAACCCACTTAGCGTATGAATGCGCCCTGTGGGCTGTGCCGTGCGCGAAATGGGCGGGGTGACCTAGGTTCGAGGGACGTGTGGAACAGACGTTTCCGAGTGACGGTACAGAGCGGAATGTATCAAAGAGCATCCTCCGAATTCTGCAGAATTTCTGTAAACAATACACTTTACATCACGTCATAATCTCATTCGAATGCCCAGTTTTTCACCCTCCACATATACGACGCATGAAAAAGGGACTCTGGGCAAGGACGGGTAACGGAACTTCTCCCCGATTGCGGCGTTCTCCCTTGCGGCATGCGGCAAATGTCACCGCAGTTACCATACTCACTCCGCCTACCCGCCAATCAATAGGACGGAATATTTTTCTTTGGTTGGCTTTCTTTTTCATTAGATTTTGATCGTTTTTTCTTCTGTTTCTTTTTCGTTCTTATGTTTATTAGATTCGAATAATTACAATGACTCCTCCTACATAAGCGACGATCAAGACCGCATTGGAATTGAAGAGAGCGGCCAGCTAATTCAAATAATTAAAGGGCTCCCTACCTCACAAATTGCGCGCTCCAATCTTCCATCGCAATCCTGCGATACGCGGCGGGTGCGGCGGAGAGAAGATTCCGGAACCGGGCAAGGACAGGTGTCGGTTTCCGGGCAACTAGGGGTCACGTGGTGCATTTCTGAAAATGGCGCGCAAACAATATCGCGCTCCATCGCCAGAGAAACAGAAGGCAAGTGGGAGCCGGTCGTTTGGCGCGATGGGCGGGGTCGCGCCGCCCATTTGAGGCGGCGCGACTCCGCCCATCGCCCCTTCAACTCATTCAGATCGCGTAATCTTCTGCTCTCCTCTCCTCTATAGATGTTGGATTGGGGAGAGGATAGCGGAAGATTACGCGATCTGAATGAGTTGAAGGGGCGATGGGCGGAGTCGCGCCGCCTCAAATGGGCGGCGCGACCCCGCCCATCGCGCCAAACGACATACACCCAAGGCAAGTAACTAGAACCGCCACACAGCTGCACGCGAGTGGCGGACGATGCTCTCTGGTACCTTCCGCTCTGTAGCACCACTCGACGTTATCCGGCATTTTCGCGTCATTCCTATCATTCAGCCAACGTCCGTTGCGCGGGTCCGTCGAGAGTAGGTCACCCCGCCCACTTCGCGCGCGGCTCACTCCACTGACGGCTTTCAGGCTTCGTCGACCGTCCGTCCAACGCGTGCGTGCTGCGACGGTGGAGCTACTTGGGTGTTGATAACACTAGATCACATGCCAGCGCTGTCAACACCAATGTAGAACCGCTGGCGCGATACGCACGCGACCGCCGTCGCGCAAGCGTTGAACGGGAGGACGGACGGACAGATGAATCGTTGATGTCTGAAAGCATCCACTGAGGTCTTGAGATGACATTACACTATCACCAAGGGTGAGTGGGGCGAATGATTTGCAGTTGTCCGTATTATCTTATCATTGGCTGACTGCCGTGGACCAAGCGCAAACGGTATGCCCCAATGACAACTGCGACGTCTGTCAAGTATCGCAGGCGGACCCGCCGCATGCGACGACTTTCGACGGACGCGCGCAACGAAGCGCACCCCCATCAGTCAGTCCCAATACCATTCCGATTTTGCACGAGGCCAGCACCTTCACTAGCTGTTCCTCTTCTCCTAAGATTTGGGTAAAAATAAACTCCATCACAGTTACCCAAGACCATTTTGATGAACCCATCCTCTAGTCCTAAGTTCTTTACGTTATACTTGAAACTATCTGGAATGCCCCTCCAACTACATTTTCACTTGCTCAGAGATCCAGCACAGGTTGACTGTTCATGAATCAGGCCAATGTGAAAATAACGCACTCGAAATTGTATATTCAGAATGTGAATATATTTTTTTAGCTGTATCCCTTACAGAGTTATGCTGCAATATTCAGCACCCAACAGAGGATCGACGGTTATGCTCCGCCAAGACACAGGAAGTAAAGTTCGAACCCCGCATATCGTAGCCGCTCAGGTGTGTGCCTCAATGGCAAAGTGGCTGCGAAGGGCTGCACGAAACGACCGCATCCCTAGTCGCTCGCTTCCGCAGTTACACAACATATACCTGATCATTATGTAGCAGTGTACTGTAAAGGAAAACGTTGGTAATGGTAATTTGTGTGACTGCGAGACAAGTGTGGAAGAGGTTTCGTGTAACAATCGTATAGGAAGGTTTCTTGTTTTCAATGATCATGGGAGATGGTGAGTGTAGACGGTTGGCGCAGATTGGTTCTCAAGAGTGAAAAATCTGGAGGAAAGGTATCTCTCCTATATGAAGCAGTAACTTGGTGTGTCGGTTTGTGTCTTTGTTAGAGATATGGAAAACCCAGCCATCCTACATTTCCTTCTTATATATAAAGCAGCAACTTGGTGGGTAGACTAATAGAGTAGAGTAACTACTGCCAAGTGAAATGAGCAACGTGTAGTGAAGTGGGTACTTCAAAACTGTGATTCCGATTTGTACTGGCTATATGTGTCTATACGAAAACAGGGGATGATAATTTAGTGGGGAGGGCTCCGCTTTTTTCAACATCGGGCGCTAGAACGCAGTTATAGGAGGTCGGCTCATAATTTGCTCACAATCAGAGACGTTTCTCAACCGAGAACACAGTTTTTCGGCCTGAGCTTCAGGAGCGAAGTAGCACCGGGGCGGATGAGTCAAATGAATATTCAACTCATACCCCATCTTAGCTTTAAGGTCGGATATCATCTTTCTCTGCACTCAAGCCCCTTCAGAAATGAATAACAGTGAAGCCCCCCCCCCCCCCCCCCCCCCCCCCCCCCTTCCCCACCCTCTCCTCCTCCTCACTTCGCTATATTCTCTAATCACTTCGTAATAGAAAGGAATGAGTCCCGCCGTAAGCTGGGTGACCCGCCCGGTCAATAGCTAAAATAAAGCGACGGCTGCATGAAATGCACACATTTCAAGAAGTAAAGTGAATGGAATCGATAATGCGCCTGTCGGAGAACTAGTTCTGTTTAGTGAATCGGATGCAAACAAATGATGCCACAGTCTCGTTCCTCATTCGTATCAGGTAGCAGTCCGCACCGCCCTCATCGGCATTATATTACTCTCTCTTCATTTGACGCATTTGAATCGCAATCGTTTCACATCGCTTCGTTTCATTGCCACCCACTATTTGTCGGCTAGCAGCTCTTTGTGTATGTATAGATCTGGACCTCGTCCGCGGCGGTGCGTGACAACGCAAGACAGACAGACAGACGAGGCGTGCCGAACCCTGATGTTCATGCGGATGTGCGATTTTTCTGTATAGTATGAATACTTCGACACTGGTCGAGACGGTCAACATAAATCTGGAAGATTTCTCGGAGACCTTTCTTACCTGCTCAACTTGTCTCTATACATACGATCAGGTACGGTTTAAAAGCTTTCAAAGCTCTTTTTCATATTTTCTTTATCTGATTTACCCTTTTACCTTCTGTTTTGCTCCCTTCTATTTCTTTTGAATTAAATTCAAGCGGTTAGGCAGTGGGTAAAATCCGACGTCCAGTGCACCAAATGTTTAAGCACGTCGAGATCGAGTTTGTTTCACCACCTCGAAACTGTGTGCACAAGGCGATCACGGTGACCGTGCAATAAGCTTTTAATGCGCATAGTCGAACATAATGCTAAGGGACATTTCTGTGGTGTTGTTCTAAACTTACTCACTACTTTGCGCTTTGGTCATCTACTACTATGATCCTTACCTAATCGTTTTCCTTGATAATCCGGAAACTTTTTCAATATGTTAACTACAACACCGTCCCGTCTCCGTTAATGCTCTAGGATGTCATAATTGTGGAAAGCTTCATGCTACGACTTACTAGGCTCGTAGAAGTGAAAATTGTGCAGTATCCTCACCCTAAAGTTTAAAGCTGATTCATCTCTGCATTCGGCCTCAAACTTCTTTTAGCAGTAAAAAGAATGAGGATGTACTTGGGATATTGATTGCAGGTCCTAGTGTGATTGGAACAAAAAGAGTGCTTATGGTAAAAATAAAAGGTGTAATTATAGAAGAGAAGAGTTGAAGACGGTTCGCTTTAACAAAATACGCAGCCAGCGACACCTGAGCGTAGCAATGTGGAAAAACTTGTGGCTATACTAAGAATGAAAAGGAAAAGATCCTTTTTATCATGTGCTGCTGCTTGATCATTATGTCCGACTCGAATGTTTTTTCACAGAGCTGTAGTTGTGGAACTTAGGCTTGCAGGAGAATCGTAATGACCACCAGGTTGTGTTTTCAAACAAATCCACATTTCGAATCTGATAAACGATTTGGCAGTTACGAAACCATATATTACTTTGTGTGGTATGATATTTTATCAAACATTCTATAAATACGTCGAGTCAGAGTGGCCTGCATAAAGCGACAAGACTGGTGATATGATGGGAAATTCGGCATTACTCGAGAATTTTTAATTTTCAATCATTTTCACCTTATATGCAGTATTTTGTTCTACTCTTAGGCTCAACCTTACCCCCTGAGAATGAGACACATTTCGCTTCCGTCTAGGGCACGTGCGAAATACAGGCTGAACTACATCTTCGATTCCTCCCCCTCATTCATATAATCTTTGAATTGTAAATGATTGAAATACGCCATTGTGAGTTTGCATCCCAAATATTTGCACTCCTTTTGCATTCTCGCAGTATGCTACTTGTAAAACAAATTTGTGGCTCCAAGTGCACCTGTCGATCAGTTTCGAGAACTCGGAAACAGTTCCTAAGCGTTGACGTGCTTCATTCTGTTTCCAAACGAGTTCTGCTTCGGATTCGATGAAATACGAAAGTTCTGCTCAAATGGGGTCATCTCAAGTCAGGCGGATCCTTAACCAACTGGTTTGTCGCGTCATGTCACAGAAATTTCATTGGAAGTTATGAAAACACCATGTTTGAGCGAAAAAAAAAAACTTGCGCCTCCGCTAATCGATTGCAAAGTACTGTGATTCATCGACTTGTCGACATCGGGTTTTTTTTTCTTTCTGACGCAAGGAACTAAA